TGCAGATACCATCTTTTTTCCAGCATTCAAAAGACCCTCCAGATCTTTGGAATTCATTGTAGAGAGATTGGCAGGAATTTTTTCCACTGGTCGCAAATTTTATAAACCTCAAATCCTTTTGTAGTGCTTGATGACCATCTTTGCCAACATATTTATTTTGGAAAGCAAACTGAAGCCTTGGCTTCAGCATTTTTACAAAGTTAGTTGTGTTGTGCTGTAGGAAAGCCTGTAGATTTGTGATTTTTTCTTCATTAGACTTTATTTCCTTCTCCAGGTTTGATACCTCCTTTTCTGCCTGTAAATAGATCAATAAAATATCACATGAAAGTCCCTGGCATAAATATTAAATATTGGGAAATCTAAAATACAACTATTTTTCATTTGGCCTAATTGAATTTACAGTAAATCAGTGACGCATAACAAAAAGCACAACGTATAATGTCATTAATAATCATGTAATTTCAGTATTTAGTATTTTAAGGCTAGTAAGAGAATTGGTATGATAATGCACTTTTTAAAATAAGCATTCTTTTGCTAATAAATGTCTTGGGTTTTTTTTCTATTACTAAGCATCAGTAATTAAGAAAAAAATAACAATCATGTCAACAAGTACTTGTGGATGTGAGAAGTAAAATCAGCGACGTATAAACAAGACATTTATTTATACGTCCCCGGTAAATTTCATGAAAAAAATCCGACGTTCGATATAAATACGTACAGGATAGCATGGACTTTATTAGTTCGTGAGGATAGTATACACGTACCTCCATAATGGACTGTTTGTAGTCTTTATGCTTTGTTAAGTTGCCGCAATTAATGTATCCCTCACACTTGTCAAATGGACACGCCTGATTGCCGCGATTTCCATGTGCCTTGTGTCCGCGGCGATGACACTTGTCACAGACTGTTTTCAAAATAACTCCACCAGGTATGGCCATAGGTTGTAATGGTTCAGGTACCATTCTCATATCTTTAAGTTCATTCTTTTTGTGTAACATCAATATGGTTAATGAATCCCGTTCGTCTTTTAATTTCTCCATCTCCTTCTCGAGAAACGGCTTCTGATCTTCGTATTTTTCAGCGAAAACATCATGGGCATGGTTAGCAGGCTTACTATCATTGATGCTGTTTTCGTCTTCAACACTGAATAATCTTTTAGGATACCTTTTGAACTTACTTGTAGATGCAACATCAATTATATTTTCAGTGGAAACAACCTCGTGGCCTTCAGATTCAGCTTTAAATTTTTTCTTGGTGTCCGGAGTCTGCATGTTACATATGCGCTCAATCAACATGCGTTTAAACACGACGGGAATGTTCATTGTCTGCACTTCGCTCGGCCTAAGGTATTTAAGGGTCTCTTTGCTGGTAACAGAAAGACAAAACAATTCTTCCTTGTATGGAAGGAGTCCAGGGTCAATGCTCCGAACAAATTCCTCTGGAGTTCTTTCAGTGTCCATCATCAGAGATTATTGGCGGCAGTCACTGTCACTGCCGTTTCCGGTAACTGCGCATGCTCACATAACACACGCTGGGCCATCTAAATATAGCGCAACTGCAGAAGTTGGTGTACAAGTTACCTGTGTTAATCGCACAGATCACGACACAGCTTGACAAGTGCGTTTGTCAACGGTATGACGTCCTGCGCTGTAACAAATATTGTAAAAGACATTTTACACACATATATATGTAATTTTGAAATTTGTGTAAAATCATACTCTAAGTATTGAATGTCAAAGTCAGTTAAACAGGTCACTGTGACCTAAGGTTGACTTTTGACCTACATCAGAGGAAATGCATTATAGGTAAAGTTTTGAATTGGAAAACACAAATTATGATTGATTATCAGAAGACTCTTATTCAATGATATTATATTAAAATCGAAGTCTGGTAAATCTATTTGAAAAAAGGTAATTATAAAGACAAAGTTATATGCACTGAAATCAAGAAAGATTGGCTATGTGTCTGTATGTAGACACATATTGTTCAGAGAAGTTCTCCTGAAGTTGCAGACCAATTGCAATGAAACTTTTTACAGAATTGTTAGGGATCATGTGTCGTGTGTAGATGTTTAGTTTGCATTTCAGAGAATGCCACTTTTCATAAAACCTCATTTATTCCCAAGCCAAATAGTGGTTGCCATGGTAATTAGTCAATATAAATAGGATTTTGTAAGAAAGAAATTGTTTGGACAACTCCACCAAACTACTTAATCAGTTTAAAAGAGAATGTAAAATCATTCAGTTTTCGAGAATGCCACAAACTTCATGCAGTTAAGTGGGGTATTGCTGAATTATGCTATTTCTTGTCGTAAACCAGGCACTGAACCATTGCGGAAGCAATTAAAAGAGGGAGCTGTGCCAAGTGTCTTTGCATGGAAGCCACATCTGGATACCGTAGCAGAAAACCATCGAGCAAAGCGACTTTGTGTACGTAATGCAGAAAAAGAGCTCAGATCTCCCAGTACAGTTTCTGTTGTTGAAGCCAATATCAACCTACTCCCAGATCCCTCTAGTGATATCAACGTTGGCTGTGAAGAGTTTGTGAGATCTGAATCAGTATCGACAGATAGAGAAGAACCTGTTCAGCAGTTTCCTCCACAGTTTACAAATTCCTTTTCACAAACACCAACATTACCAATTCTTACTGTGGAACAGTTTGTAAAATGATAATGCTGGAATGCTTTTTTACACTGGTTTGTCTTCATACCAAGATTTTCAGTTTGTGTTATTTTGTCTTGGTGATTGTGTAAATCATTTAAATTATATTTACAATAAGGTAGAAAATGTTAGTATTGCAAATCTTTTTTTTTGACCTTAATTAAGTTGCGACAGAACAAAACCAATTTTGAGCTCAGTCGTCTTTTTCAAATATCTGAAACCTCTGTAGCTAATATTTGGATAACCTGGGTTAATTTCATGTATCGGCAATGGTGGCCTGAAAGAGATTTAGTTCGTTATTTTTGCCCTACTGACTTTCGGTCAAAGTTTCCCACTACTAGAGTGACTGTTGACGGAACAGAGTGCCCTGTTAAAAAATCTAGGCCTCCTGTTGCTCAACAGTCAACATACTCTAGCTACAAAAGCAGAAACACAGTTAAAGTGTTAGTAGGGACAACTCCTGGGGGGGTTAGTCTCCAACATATCGTCTTCTTATGGAGGGTCAGTTAGTGACCGCCAAATTGTTGAAAAGAGCAATTTGGTAGCCATGTGTGATCCGGGAGATTCTGTTATGGCTGATAAAGGTTTCAATGTACAGGATTTATTTGCTGGTCGAGATGTCGCTGTAAACATCCCTACATTTTTTAAAAAGAAAAACAGGATGACAGGTAAGATTGTCCTAAGAGACAGGAAAATATACAGCAAACGTGTTCATGTTGAAAGGATCATTGGCCTTGCAAAGACGTACAAAATTCTCACAATGCCAATGAACAGTACCCAGACAAAGCTTTCCAGTGAAATTATTTTTGTTTCCTTCATGCTTTGTAATTTTAGAAAGTGTATTGTGCCTAGACATGCTTAAAAATTTGAATGTATATACCTTGTATAAGCATGAAATTTGAATTTCAGTCAGTCTCTCCCTTTATACAATTTTGAATCCCCTCTCTTAGGATGGTTCCATCCAAATATGATTGATAGCCTTCATTAGTTCATTTGGCTCTGCCCCTTAGCCCCTAGGGCTAATCCCTCCATTTTTAGCCCACCGTCATCAAATCGCCTTTATCCAAGGTCCGTCATTCGGTCTGTCATCTGTTACTCCTTTAACAATTCATGTTACTATTTCAGAAAAGTACTAGAGTAGATGTGTTATTCTCAAATTTCATATGAAGATTCTCCTTGGACCCTAGTTGTGTGTTGTACCTGTTTTTGACGGACAAACAAAATGAGGCAGCGATCTTGGATTTTGACAGCAATTAATTGCGGAAGTTGTTGACAGATGGATACAACAGTACGGCAATATAGCTTAACTTGGTCCTGTGTATGAGGTTATTTAATAAAATTATAAGTCCTACAAAGAACTCTCATCTGAAAAAAAGTTATGAGAACAATAAAAATTGATTTATACATTTGTACAACTTTAAGAAGGGTGTTTGAACACCTATGTTTTCATGTTATTCCAATGTTTGGTTGTTAACATTTTAACACATTATTGTTTAGTAATGTTGTGTAAGACTTAATTTTGAAGTTAAATTAATTAAGTCAGTGTTTACCTTGTACAGCTTGCATTAGTACATCTATGTAATGTATTCTTATTCTGACAAACTATCCATACCAGTAAGCATTTTCTCACATACATACTAACTGTACTAAAAGTTTCTTTATCCTGAAATAGTAGTGAAGATGTAACCATTGTTGGCAATATAACTAACTGTTCAATGGTATTCTGCAATTGTACACAAGTTTGTAACGTCTGTGATTCCTGCTGTAGTCAGTCCTGCTCTAGTTTTGGAAGGAGTATTTGTTGTAGTCTTTGAAGAAGAACCTTTCCAAAACAGCTTGCTTGAAATTAAGGTTGAAAAAGACAGTTAGTTCCATGACCATGTCATGTATAAAAGTGTCATCACGAAGGATTGAAATAATTTTCATGTCTTTAAAGGTGTAAACTACAAGTTTACACTGGTTACGACCAGTACAGAAAAGCTGACCCTGAATTTGATAAAAATAGTTGTGCAATTTGTCAAGTGTCAACTCTCCATCAACAAACTGTAGATAAGGGACAGTGTCTGATTTTTTGCACTATAAGGGCATTTGACCTCCACTAGTTCATCATCTCCAAGTAAAGCATCTGGAGAAGCTGCCAGATAGGGATGAGATTCACTGACAAACACACCACATTTTTCAGCTTTTAACCCAGTAGATTTTTCAAATTCACTGATTGCCACAGATTCATAAATCTTTCCATGGTGCAATGGTGCTGGTTCTGTTTCTTGATCTAAACACAAATTTCTATACTGTGTCAATGTCCTAGCTAAGTTTACCATATTGGTCAGAGCTGTAGCTCTACAAACTCTCCCAAAGTTGGATGAATGTATTCTTGTTTGCAGTTTGACCTCTTGTATTATGTTCAATCTCTTTGATTTGATCATTATTTATCTTTGTTATGCACATGTCTTGCAGCCACTTGTCAGATATCTTAATTTCAGAATAGTCATGATCACTGTCTAATGCATATGGATTTGCAGGTTTGAATATCTGTGACACTGGATAGACATTTACTTTAGTATGATTCAACCATACAGACCTGAAGTGATCACTGTAGCTGGTAACATTCCTATACTGTTGTGGTCTTGGGTCATAGTTAACTGTGAGGTTTTCATTTGCAAATGGAAGGTTTTGAGCTTTAATTGGGCTGCCATAATAGGGCTTACTTTTATGAAATGTCTGAAGCTTCTTAGTGCATGTTTCTTCTGTCAACAATTCTTTAAATATGGAAAATTTATAACATGCATATAGAACTGCACACACATGCTTGCAATGAGCTTGGGGTCCCATACCTGCCGCACATTCACACTGGCCCTCTAACACACAGCCATTTTTGTCTAAGCACACATCAACAATATATGACACACTTTTATTCATCTGTGCTCTGCACTCTGATTTTACATAGAATTTGTCAGTGTCTGATGCCAAACGTAAATATTTCAAAAAAAATTTTGTATAGCAATTTTGAATCACTGTCAACAGTCTTTTGCATTTGAAGAAGGTATGATTCAATAGCTTCTAACCTAAACTCTGTGAAAACTGTGTCGTTGTTGTAACACTCAAGACTTGGCACATTCATGCAGAACTCAGGCTCTAACTCCTCTCTACCAAAGTCATTGTTTCTATCATATGCTTCAAGTCTGAAATGAACAATGATAAAATGTCAATACCGAGATGGAATGCCATTGTAACAGTTAATGCAAATGTCCATTTAGAATCTCAGGTTATTGAATATTGTATGTTACTTACTTTTCTCTATAGTCTAGATGAATCAGATTAACCAATGCATTGCAGGATATATATTCAAAGGTATTAACATTTATATAGTTTTCCAGAAATTAGTTTACGCCTGGAAAAGCCAAGTAGCCCATTAATATGACTGATCAATTTATACATTGTATTGCTAAATTAACTCATTGTGTTGTTCTCATTCGTTTATTAGTCATTCACTATTGACATTTACAAGTCTTATTTCATAAAAGAAAGAAATCACTTTGCAATACACAATGGAGTTATTTTATTTTTTTTATTTAGCACATGTAGTCCTTATAATATATTCCATATGTATTTTCATTATGTCATTGATTTTTTTAAGCTACTTAATAATCAAATATTTTAGGTATCTCATCACGATTTAAGTACTAAACTGTTTTAAGGACTAAAATTTGACCAACAAGTACTGAATAATGTCATATGATATATGTAGAATTTTAATGGACCAGCAACAAATTCATAATCTACTGTTTGCTAAGGCAGTTATTCGCAGACATACATCGATAAATGTGTATTTAATAAAGCAGCATATACTAGGATATGCAATACAATAGATGCGTTGCTTTAATGTTTCATTCATGCTCTTTAAACACAGTTAACAACGGTATGAATAGCCTAGTACATTAGGCCTAGTCTATCACTAGCAACAGACGCAGACCTCATTTAACACTTCAAGCCACACCGAGTCGCCATATGTTTTCCATGATTAATTGTATCTAGACATTTTAAAAACAATTTTGAGCAGTAGATATATGCTTTTACTTTGCAATTTGGATATTAGTGAAGGTTGGATCCACAAATTATACATTACAGAGTATTTCTGCGATCGGTTGTGGCGGTGATAGGCCAGTTACAGTAATAGCCAGCCTAGTGCAACAACTAAAAAACAACGAACCTTTCAATCAACTCATTCTTTCTGCCTGATATCCGTGCTCCCCTGGCTCTTAACTCCCTCTTAAGTTTTGGGAGATCCCATAACCCATAGCAAGCTTTTGTCTCACTCATTATTATTACGTAAAATAAGTATATAATCGTATCTGTTTTTCTGTCTATATACTCTGTGACCGGAACGTGTTGTGCGCCACCTATAAATCAGCGGGGATAACTCTATGTGATTTGCGACAAATGTTTCTTATTCTCTTTGTCTGGCTTTCACATGTGCATACTGTGCATCACTGAATATTGAATTCCAAAAGTATGACAGCACTGTGAGAAAATTTCCTACCTCCTTTGCTTTGTCGTCAGCTTTCTGTACCAGATAATGGCCTTTCAAAACATTCTCTTTAAGAGAAATCCTAACAATACTTTTAAGCCACGCTTTTTGGACCCATGCTCCTTTAAAGGTATATTGCCAATGGCATCTCGAGGAAACATGAAATGATTTAGGTTTAACATTTCAGTTGTAGATGTGATTTTACGTTTCTTCTGTAGTGCTAAATTTAGGAACAAGTTCGCAAACTTTCTCATGTCAGCCATTATTGCATCTCTTAGTTGTCCTTTTCTTCTCTGTTCTTGCCTGAATTTTCACAAAATTTTGCATTCCTAAAAGTTTAATAAAATCATCAGAACGACATAATTCTCCTACTTCCTCTCTCCTAAATTTAGAGAGTACTTGATCCCGAAACTGAGTTGAATCACTACTTTCTAAAAAGAAAAACACTGGGGCTGCTTCTGGTTGTGTAGTTGTAGATTCAGCAGCAATGCATTGTCTTTGCAGAATAGAAGCCATTACATATTGAGCACACAGACAATGAACGTTGAACTTTTCCTTGTCGTCGTTCTCTGATCAGATGATTTTCTATTTTACTTTGTGATGGATTGCTTCCTAATGTTTGCAACTTCTTTTTATTGGCTAGCATTATTCCATCTTTGCGAATTTGGTCAAATGCTTGATTTTGTAATTCTTTTGAAAGTTGCAAGGCTAATTTAACACATTCTTCTGAGGAATGCTTTTTCTTGATGTACTTTACAAGTTTTGATTGCATCACACCACAAAAAAGACAGGGCCTGAAAGGTTTTCCTTTACCCTTGGTAAATAATGTGTCCACATCTGCAAAATATAAGATATTACATTCTTTTAAACATGAGGCCCAAGGGACTTGCATCGAACATCTGGCTAATTCTGTAATTCAGGTTATTAAGTCCAACCAAATATGTAAAGATCCGTTTATGTTTTTTTAAATCGCAGCCTCACCTGTTGGATATTTACTCTTTTGAATCAGTCTCAAAGCTTGTCCAACATTACTAATGATAACAAGGAACCTACGTATTAAATTTGAAATAAAAAAGCAGTAAAGATAACCACCTGTTTGCCTTGGTGTTCATCTTTACTGGGTTTTTTTTTCAAAGGAGTATGTATGATTTGGGTCAAATTTGGCCCCCTATTCAAATTTGATGAAATACCTATATTGAGTAAGGATAGTAACGTAATTAATGAATTGGGGGATTTTGGCATGTTTTCTTTCTCGGCGCATGCGTAGCGGCACTTCAAATATAGGTGTCACACCAGCATTTTTTAAGACAAAAATGACACAAAGCATTACAAAAAGATTATGTAACTTTTAATTATCATACAAATATGCTGCTTAATATTGATGTAATTAAATCACTTATGGAAGTTATCAACTAATGGCTTTTGCTAGCAAAGGCTTAAATTAAACTTTTAGTATATTTACATTTGGTACCTTAGCAACGAATTATATCACATAGCAACGGCATGGCTATAAGATTTATTACTGGTAACAACATTTTCTATCATCCGAACTTGTGAAATGAAAACAAATCATAGCATATGTGACATAATTATATGGACTAACTTTTTTACAAAGGTTTGTAATGCAAACATTTGGAAAGTGACAATTTCCCTAGCAACAGAATGTGTCGCATAGCAACAACAATACCTTATATTGATAACAACATTTTCTTTCCAGTTTCAAGATTTTTCTTCTGCTGTACTTAATGAAAACAAAATATTTCTCATGTTTTCAGTAGCTAAACTTTCTAATAAAGGTATCACAATATAGATATTAGAGTATTGATCAAAGTTGGTGCCTTAGCAAAGTATTCTGACACATGGCAAGAATATGACCTAAACTGTTATTTTTTTTATATTGTTTCAATGTTTTTTATTGTTTCAATGTTTTTTATTGTACGTTATTTAACGAAAACAGGTCATTATCACTTTACATGGACTAACCTTTTCTTACGAAATATGTATAATATAAACATTTTGATACAGATCAACGTTAGTACCCTAGCAACAGAGTCTATCACATAACATACCTGTAATTGTTAACATATTCTTTTCTGTTACAATATTTTTCCACTTGTTACTTGTTGAAAGTGAAACACTTATCACATAATTTCATTGGTAAAACATTTTTGTTATAAAGGTATACTAGTGTACAAAATATAAAAAATTGATTATTAATCAAAGTGTGCAACAAAGTCTATCACATAGCAGGAACATCACCTGAAGCTGTTATCGGTTTCTATTTTGCCTCTTACTTCTGCACTGATGCTTTTGAAAGCAAAGCATATTCGAAGCATATAATCAATGTATAACCTTTGGTTTTGTTCACAGAATTTAACAAACATGAAAATGAACAAGTGATAAGCGACTTCAAATTAAATCTACTTTAAATACATATAGTGTTACAGTTTATTCTTCTGGATACTCCTCATCCGTGTCGGAATCTGTTGTTGGAATGCCAGCTGCATCAGCCAAAGACTGTCGAAATAGTCACTGCCCCAGATGATTTGCCTTGGAAGCGTTCATATCCTAGAAACCACAATGCACTTGCAATGTGGGCACAGCAACTGACCACTCTTGAGCCTACTTTACAAGTGCAGTACCAACCTTTGATGGGATCATCAGAAAGTGAGTCATACTCAATCCACAAAGAATGTGCTCTGCTGTTACAGTGTCGAGACTGTATTTTTAACTTGATCAGATTAGGGTTTTCTGAGAAGACCAGCAACTCATACAGTCCATCTTCAACACAGTGCTCCTTTGTATAACTTGGAGCCTGTTTAAGTTGATAAACTCCCATGGTGGTGTTTCGTAAGTCATCCATGGAAAGTTTAGGTAAGTCCATCAAGTCTTCTGCTTCCAGCTTTTGATAAACACTACTCTTATTTAGTAAGTTGTTGCTTTCCAAAAATGCCTTCACTGTGTTTGGTTCCTTGGACTTTGCAAGCATTGCCCTGCAATGTGCTTCTGATGTTGCGTCAGTTTTCACAAGTGGTTCTTTAAACCTGTTGATAAGAGCACAGATGATTCTCACAAAGTCACCAATAGAAGGGATCAGGGTATTTGGAACAACTTTGTCAAACAGTTTCCATTGTTTTATCCTGCCATTCACGCTTTCTACCACCCATCTGACTTTTGTGACTAAACATGAAAGGTTCGCCTCTTCGGTGCTGTGCTGCTTGCAGCCTTTCTGAAGATAGAAGGGCATTTTCACATCGAAACATCGGTCTTCTAAAAACCTCACAGCGTCCCTAAACCCCCTGTCTACAATGAATATGTCGTCAGGTTTGAACCACTTGCTAGCTTCCTCATTTGCCTTAAGCATGTTTGGAGGCATCGTTGTTTGAGCCATCAGCCAGGTAAGGTCCGAGCACATCCAGAATGTAGCCATCCGTTCCTACAAGCATCATTGGTTTAACGAGTGGTCTGTTCTTGTGCATAGAATAGGACCTCCTTTGGAATTTGTAGTCTGCACTCTTCTGGATGTAAACATAGGTGCCATCAGCAACAACAATAGCCTCGTTTTCGCCTGGTTGGAACAATGATTTTGCTATGTTTGTAGTGTGGTTTTGAACAAAGTCTCCATGAGATATGTGTTGAAATCCAAGGTTATCTGGTACAAAATCTTCCACTAAGGCATTCCTTGTGCTGTTCACTATACGCTGGATTTGTGAATATGTTAAATGAAATAACACACCAATTAACTTGTTGGACAATCCACTACGTAATTTGAAGAGAAACACAGCTAGACATGTCCGGATTGACCTAGCTGCTGAATTATTAAGTGATGTCAAATGAGTGACAATTTCGTCAAACTGCTGTTTGGTAAATCCTATCAATGTTACATAATCTTCATTGGTTAAAAATGATGGCACATCGAAATTCAAATGTCCAGAATGTGTAGACAGCATCCTTCGAACTCCGGAGAGAAGACCTGTAATATCACTTCTTGAAAACCAGTCATTTGATTTCTTGGTTCCAAGTAATGCCAACGCATTTTCATTCAGATAATTGTTCTCAATATGGCTCTCACAACATCTACTATGGGGGTGTATGAATATACCACATACTATGAAGGCCTGAGTAGATCCTTGTTGTGGGATGTTGGTTAAATGGTTTCTTTGGTTTGCATCTTTATGACATACAATACATGATTTATGAGATTTTGATGTTGCGGGAAGGTTCAAATTAATAGTTTTAGGACTCGACAGTGTCTTTTTCTTTGGCGGCTGAGAAATGTACTCGTCATCATTAGTATTTACAGGTGTCTGGTGAAATATTGGAAGACTCCTATACACTCGTGCCTTACATGTCCCGCATATCATGTCATTGCGACTCACGTCCCTGCCAACACATCGCTACACATATCTTTTAAAGGCCACGCCAGGTGGGATATGCCTTCTGGAATTTGGTTTACACCTTTTGAAGCACAAGCAACATGGGATGTCTTTTGGCATCTGGAAAGAAATATTTGATACGTATATTAGTACTTTATACCAACCATATAAATCACGGTAACGTAGAAAAGTATAAAAAGAATATGTAAACATAAAAGTGACAACTTTTTATGAGGAACTCAAAAGAATGTGTTTTCTATACATTGTATAAGAAATTAAAAGTTGTAAACATAGATATTATATTCATATTTCAATTACATAACATATTTTTGTCATAATTGATCAATAATTACACATTATTTAGTGAATATGTTGTTAAGTTTTTTTACAATGAATTTAAGAAAAAATAATAAAAAGGAACAGGCACCAGCACGACTGTAACTCACACAAATGTCGATAAATGTTTGTGAAATATGGATTGTCAACAAGATTTGAACTCACAGTTTAATTAATATTACAAATGTTTTTTTCTTAATGTGAAATAAAATGTTGCTAAGCACTTTCAAGAACAGACTACATGGTTGCATTTTAAATTAAGTTAAGAATAGGTATTTTTTTATTTGAAATCAAAATAAATAAATAAAAACAAATTTATTTTGTAGCATCAATATGAAACTTGTTCAAGCCTGCGCTCATGGTAAACTTCAGTAAAATGTACCCACGAAATGGGGGAAATCACCGATTTTCGTGTTTTTTGTCAATTTTCAAACAGCTATATTAAAAAATTGGTGATATTTTTTAAATCTTGAAAACAATTCTAGAATCATGGACACGTCCATTATTAAATGTCTTCACTCTTTTGATTTTCTGAGACAGTTTTTCTCAGTAAAATATTGGGGGTATATAGGTACCCAAACCATACATACTCCTTTAGTCGGTAGGTTACTTTCAAATCAATAACTTGTCCTGCATAAATAAGATTCATTAAGTAAATCCTTCTGAGAAGTAGTAATAACAAGGAACTGGTGATACAATACCCAAGCAAGAATAATAACAGAATCTGTGTATCTTATTTTCATTACATCTTACCTGATTGACTTTCTGCTTCTCTACGGGAAGTAAAACTGCATGAATGTTTATTACCACTGTCTTGTTTTTTGTTGATATTCTGAACAGGTCGATTGTCTTGGTGTGATTCATCTTGGACAGACCGGTGATCTTGGTGGGATTCATCTTGGACAGACCGGTGATCTTACTGTGATTAATCTTGGACAGACCGGTGATCTTACTGCAATTAATCTTGGACAGACCGGTGATCTTGCTGTGATTCCCACTGTTTTGTGTGCTCCAATAGGAATATTAAGATCTTGAAACACTTTAAGGAAGCTGGACATTGTTCTAGTAGCGAAAGTGGATGCTGGCTCAATAACGAGGAAATCACCCAGAAGGTTCAGGATGTGCTGAATGTTATAATTGCAGGGCGTCAAGCGTAAAAAGGGTCCAAAAAATAGGAAAATAGGAATTTTAGATGTCCAAAAATAGGAAAAAAATAGGATTTTTTTGGAAAAAATATATATAAAGTAGGAATTTTTCTTCTTGATGGCCTCCCAACACCCCTTCAGCCATCCCGTTCCACCATCCCGTTCCACCACTTTATTAACGAAATAAAATTAGTAATGGAGATATATGTAAACTTTGAAAGCACTTATTTTGTATTAACAACTTCAAAAAAAATGTAATTAGTAAGGTAAAAAAGTTTGATGGAAATTATTTAAGAATACCAAAATGTTAATGTTCTGCTTTCAAAGGGGAACATATTATTTCGGTATTCTGAAATAATTTAAACAATTTGATACCAGACATGATTGATATGGTGAATTCAATTGTATACATGTATTTATAAAGTATGTGAACAATTAAATCAATAACTAATCCATGGTCATCTATACTGATAAAAGTAATGCAGAAAAGGATACAAAAATAACTAATAATTAGATTAAAACTTACAATTGTCTGTAAAACCTACAATGTCATCAATAAATATCTTTACATACTTCAAACTGAAATCAGAAATTGTTTGAGAAATACCTCTGTTTATGCTTGGGGCTTTAATAGCAAAAAAACTTGTTTTAAAACCAAAATATAATTTTAACAATAAGAAAATATTTTTACTCTTTCAAAGGTTCATATATTTATTGTTATTTCAAAAGCATTGCAAAAAGGGATTCTCAGGAAAAAACTAATTTGTTGCATGAATTAAGATCAATCATTTGAGATTCAAATTTTGAAGATTGGAACTTCATTTTTTAGTTATAATGAATTGGAACATAAACCTAGTGAAAATACATTTATATAAATTGATGACAGTCTATAACAGAGTCCAAAGTTTACATATATCTTCGTAAGTCTTGATGGTAAAAGCACAGTAGAAAGCAAGATAATATACATAAAGCAACATAATATACATAAACTAAGCAAGATAGACCAAGACACAACTTCAGAAAAGACAAGCACTAGTGTTACCTACACTACAAAGCAAACATTATTCTTATAATAGTTACATTCCAGCAGAATCCTTTAAGAGACCTTATGACTTTTTTTGCTTTTTTACAACCTTCATTTTTTTCATCATTTCCACTCCTTTTATTAGTTGAACTTGAGGGGACGGCTTTATCTAACAGCTTTCTAGTTTTGCTTTCTAATTTTTTCCTTTGCTCTCTCATTTTATCAAGGTTTTTCATGGCTTTCTCTCTGTTAGATTTTGCTGTTTCAAGCATCATTGAAGCCACCTGCACAGTCTGTTTATTGACAGATGACTCAGTCACAGCATTTTGCAGTTTATCAGTTGCTTCAGATAACAGCTCATCTGCTGCAGCTAATGTTTGCCTTGCTGCCTTTTCTTTCTTTTCAAGTTCCTCTTCATCTTTATTAAGGCACTTTTTTGATTCCAATAACTTCTCTTTCCTTCCTTTCCTCTGCTTCTCTTTTTAGTCTTGCTTCTTCTTTCTTCTTTTCAAACTCTATCTTCTCTTTCTCTAACCTTTCCAAGTACTTTGCATGTGCAGATTCAACAGACATTTTTAAATCTTTAGTAACAAGAATATTTTCTGGCCTTTGGTTTTCAGGATAAAAAAAATTAACTGCATCTTTCACATTCCTCAAACCTACAATTGTTGTCTCTCCCAAAGAAGCCCGTTCTTTTGTCACTATACCAGCATTTATTGACAAACTTCTTTCTGATTCACTGTTTGTCTGTGCCAAAACAAGTCCACATTTTACAACTAACGGCAGGACACTATATTTTGGGGTTCCATTATCAGATTTAAGCTGAAACACTTTGTTCCAAAACTGATCTACTTATTGGGTAATATCCAATGCTGACAGGTCATCATCAATCTGATAGATCTTCCATTTGTCAAAAACTTCAAGATTTGGCTGAAACTTTCGAGTAATATTTTGGATAGATGCCTCTGTAGATTTCTTTCCTCTTTTTATAGGATTCAGACTTCCAAGATCCTGAAGAATACTGTTACTCAGAGGCAATTTAGTTTGCAGATCTGTCATTGCTGCTACAGAGAATGCTCGAATGCCAAGGACCATCAACTTTTGTTTTTTTGGCTTCAGCTTTGAAAGTTCTTTTCTCACTTTGTCACCAACTACAAGCTCATTATCAGCTGCAGTTTTACATCCTGACATTGCACAGCTTCTAAATTACTTCCATATTTTCCTTCTAGGGCACTGGGTTTTAAAAATCTTCTCATGAGTTTCAAAAGTGTGTTACACATGCTGTCAATAAACAGTGTGAATTGTTGGACCACTTTTCTGGAAGACAGTAAGGAATTCTTCAAATACAGGTATAATATTTTTCAGAAATTCAAGTAGAACTTTAGTACTGGCTTTCTCAGAACCTGTAAGCAAAGCTGCAGCTCTCTTATAATTAACACTTTTGGGAGATTTCATCCTTTGCTAAATCTTCAATAAACTTGAAAATAACATCCCATTGCTCAAGAATACGGTTAATAGCTGGACCAATACTCAGCCATCGAACCTCAGTGTGTTGTTGAAAATTCTGAATATCGGCATTCATTTAGCTGTGTGAAGTTAGCTCAACATACGACATTCGACATTAGACATTCAGAATTTGAATGTTGTGCCAGCTCGACATTAGACATTAGACATTCAGAATTTGAATGTTGTGCCAGCTAGACATTAGACATTCAACATTCAGAATTTGAATGTTTTGCCAGCTCGACATTAGACATTAGACATTCAGAATTTGAATGTTGTGCCAGCTCGACATTAGACATTAGACATTCAGAATTTGAATGTTGTGCCAACAGGACATTAGACATTAGACATTCAGAATTTGAATGTTGTGCCAACAGGACATTAGACATTAGACATTCAGAATTTGAATGTTGTGCCAACAGGACATTAGACATTAGACATTCAGAATTTGAATGTTGTGCCAGCTCGACATTAGACATTAGACATTCAGAATTTGAATATTGTGCCAGCTCGACATTAGACATTCAACATTCAGAATTTGAATGTTGTGCCAGCTCGACATTAGACATTAGACATTCAGAATTTGAATGCTGTGCCAGCTCGACATTAGACATTTGACATTCAGAATTTGAATGTTGTGCCAGCTCGACATTAGACATTCAACATTCAGAATTTGAATGTTGTGCCAGCTCAAGATACTTCAATCAACATGTTTTGTTATTTTTTCCTGCTCTTAAATATCAATATGTGACTTCTCAGTCAACTATGATCCTTCGTTTTCCTTAGTATGGTATATGAATATAATGCAAATAATTTTGTTCGTTTGTTTGTTTGTTTTTGTTTTTGTTTTTGCTTTTTTTTTTTTGTTTGTTTGTTTGTTTGTTTTTTTTGTATTTTTGATCTTATTCGATTAAAGATTTGAAACGTGAAATTCACTCTTGAAACTCTTATGACGACTTAATCATGACAATGTATGTATA